CAGCAAATGGTCCAGAACACTGCTGCAAGGCTACTGACTGGATTCTGCAAGATGACCCATATCACACCCATTTTATATTTACATTGGCTTCCTATTAAATTCAGAATTTATTTTAAGGTTCTTGTTGTAAAATACAGAGAACTCCATGGCCAGGCACCTTTACACATGTCCTACCTGTTGCTACCTTACATCACCAGCAGGTCTTCTGATCTGATCTCCCTCCCACACGATTAAAAACAAAAGGTGATTGCATATTTGGAGCCATGACTTAGACATTATGGAATGCTTTTTCTATTGACTTAAGATCTGCGGTCTCTATGGACACCTCCAAAAAACCTATAAATTAGTTTATGTGTGAAAATGCTTGGAGTATTTCTTTTAACAACTGTGTGACTTGCTTTATCAAGGGTGCTACATAAAATGTACTTACTTGCTATTTCACAGACAAGGCTTGAAGTTTTCTTTGAGGTGAAGGGTGGAGAACCACTTAGTGCACATGGAGCATGATTGAGTTTAAGTTTGATAGTTTACCATGCACCGCACACTTAGTGACACAAAAATGTAATGCGTCGCCGCCGAGATTCTGGGTTTTGTTTATAGAAGAGGTAATTGAGTGAACTGAAGGAGAAGGTTGGAGGGTAACGGAGCTGCGCGCTTACACTGTAAGAAATTCAGGATACATGTCAGAGGACGTTTTGAGATTTTGGATATGATCGAAGCTGTTATGATAACTGTGAATCATCACTGTGGGAGAAAAATGCGTGTTTCAACAGCCATCTTTCAAGTCTCTTAAATGTTTTCGCATGAGAAGAGCTGATCTGTGTTGTAAAAAAAAAAATCACGTGGTCCCTGCAGCGGTTGCTCCACCTCACACCTAAAATATGAGGATTTGTGACTGTTGTTAATGCGTGCGTCTGTGCACTGTGTTGTGCATGTGTGAAAGGCAAACTTTCGATAAACGCCATGGCCAATTCTCCGGATTTTACTCACAGGTCGAAACGACTAAACAGAGCAGCTGTTACAACTTTAATTTTAGCATATGTCAGAAATAGATGTTCATGAAAACACTCAACTTTCAATGAAAAACCTTCTATATTCTTTATTTTTTTGGCACCATAAAAAAACATTTAAAAAGCGCATTCACTGTCATGCAATGTCAGTAATTATATGAAAAACTGAAGATTTATTTGGGACAAAACACTGACAAGGACTGATTATGAACTCACTTACTCAACGTGTATTGGTCGGCTGCAAACATGAAAAGACGCGACCTAAACACGCTTTTACTTAGAATGTATTGTAAGAAGACCATGTAGGTGAATATTTTTCTAGAGTTTCTTCCAAGAAAAGCAGAGTGTTCGTCCCACTTCTAAATGCCATTTTAAACAGCTCATCATCAGCACTACGGTGAACCCCAAGCATGGCAGGGCATCAAAAATTAATTCAATAATTAGGCCACAGCTTCTATAGTGAAAGGGCCACCATGGGTTAATTAAGAAATTAAACATATAACCCTGTAAAAAGGACGGAGTCACGGGCATCAAGCCCCGACACTCACAAGGTGCAGTGAAGTATGTAAAACAAGAAGTTGTATTCATTTTAGATCATTTAACTCATAGACTTGATGTTTAGGTACAAGGTTTCTTTAGAGCAATGACACTGAATGAACATAAACAGGCCACTTATGAAACCAAGTGACCGAGACTTTAATCCCATCGCCTCTCTTTTTTAGGTACTGATCAAACAGCCAATGTAAACAGGTCGGTGCACAAGATGCTTAAATAAGCGTTTACTACCCACTTTTAATTTAATGAATGGAAATTAAACCTAAGAACCAATAAGATTTGACAGAACTCTGATATTGAGAGTAGGTTGTATCATGTAGCATCATTAAATATAAAACTGCCAATACACCATCTTGTTCAAAATCAGCTACACACCTCCACACTGTACGTTACATAGAGGCTTGTAGAAAGGCGGCCTCCAAAAATCCAATACTGTGTTATTTCTGTTGAACAGTGCAAGAAGTAAAATTGGCCTTTTTCTCAGCTCCAATGTTCAATCTCAAAACGTTTTACACGAGTTTCTACTGTGTCTGTCTACATGTTTGTTTGAAACAGTGTGCAATGGTAATGGTTTTCTTTCATTTGGTGGGTGTGTGTTGCGCAATCAGCGATGACATGTATAGATAAAGTTATCTACTGCTGCTTGGTGTTTGCATCAATGGAAGATGTATGAAGCAGCTTTTTCAGACAGCAAAAACACAGTGTGTGTCGTCAAGCTTGTTTAGAAGAGTTAAACTTGTACTTAAACCCATGTCATCTACTGGCAGTGTTGAACGCACTGCTGTTTTTGTTTAAATAAACATTTCACGACATTTCATCCAGGCTGAACGCAGTGTTTCTGATCACATTAACGATGGCTCTGCTCTGGAATTAATTTTATTATTAACACCCGTGCTTCTCTTGCTGTCACTTGTCTGCTGAGAAAAAGACCCATTACAGCCAATGTATTATTAACAATGCAAATGATGTTATACAGAACTAGAATAAAATAAATGAAAACGAGTATATGCATTGAATAAGATGTGGACCCTCTACAGAGATGTTTCCAATATCCAAGACAGGAGATTGGTCCAAAAACATTTCAAACAGCCCAATTTTCTTTGAGGATTTAAGCATTCAGATTTGTATGTTGGCAGAAATCCATTGCTAATCCACAGCTGATTGCCTTTACAGTAATGGCTCAGTTATTAGTCTTGCTTGGCTATTTAACGACAGGTCTGAGGTGTGAGTCATTAAAACACTTTTATATTAAGTTTTACGACATTTACAGTTTAGTGAGGTGGGGTGGTCCGCTGCATCGCTCTGAACGAGTGCAGCATTGGGGAAGTATAAGTCCGCCCACTGAGGAAACTCCAAAAGATTAACGTTCAACTACAATAAACTGGGGTGTCAAAGATCGGCCCGGCAGATCAGTTTCTTTTTCATCTACACTGCAGGATAACCTCATGTCACAGTTGAAAAATTAGACTTGGTAGGAAAAACAAAGTTTTATATGACAGAGTGAACAAGATAGATGTTAATACACAGGTCGGGGTGACTGTTTATCAAAACTGTTTAATCAAACATGAAAAAAACTCTAAATGTGTAACTAGTTTAGGAAGTTCTCCTTTAACTGAGATAGTAAAGCCAGCACTTCCTCTAACATTAAACAAACATTTTATTGGTGAACTAAATACACTTACTCAAATACTTACATAAGTACTTATAAGTACAGTCTGTAGTACTTAACTTTACTTGAATGTTTAATTTCTCAACACAACTTCTTCTCCACTACAACTTCACAATTAATGTTGTATTTTGTGCTTAGTTACATTAATTTAACAGCTTTGATTACCACATGCCTTTTGAATTAGGTTTTCACATCAAGTTTTAAAAAAATATGATCAGATGTTTTTGGCCTGTGATCCCTTACAAAAAACAGCCCAGTGTCTGGTTTGTCACTTTTCTGTCCACCAAAGACACATCTCCCCTCAAAACCTTGCACAGCAGGGTCTTATTGAAATAACTGTCTGAGGCCCAAAGAGGTGGAGTTATCCTGAATTTCACAGTAAAGAAATACAATCTGAAAAAATGAATTGAAATTTGTGTAATAGAATTAGTTTTTTCATGGTTTTTGTTTGCACTCACTCTTTTCTTGTAAAAAGAAGAAAAGAAGAAAAAAAACCTCACGTAAAGCCCTTTTGCACACTTGTATTTTACAGTGCACATACTGTATGTGCTGAGGATCATACAAACCCAAGCCTGGAGCCTCAGGGGGGTTATCTATGATGTCATAATGTCATCATCCATTATGAGCTCATTGCTTTTTACGACCTAATTGACAAACTGTGATTTGGGCTAATTGCTCTGGCATTTCTGAAGCCTCTTCATTTACCTGAGCAACACACACGTTTGCACAGCTATCCTTATTGGGACATTGTTTTGACTTCCCAGCCTAACCTAAACCACATCCCTAACCTAAACCATGAAATTAGGTTTTTCCTCATTAAGACTTGGCTTTGGTCCCCATGAGGTGCGTTGGTCCTGACAAACTCAGTGTTTTTACTGGAAAAGGCCTTAAAGAGTCAACAAAAACAAATCCCCCCCCCACACACACACACAACTCAATTAGTCAAACCCTTAAAGGCTTAATATGCATCGCATACAAATCACAGCCCCAAGAAATGCCACAGGCAATAAGTAGCATAAAGTTAGGAGCCCCTTGTGCCTGTGTACACGTACACACGTACACACGTACACACACACACACAGTATCCATTTCTTCGGGGGGCATTGACTTCCTCGAGACTTGTTCAAACCTAAACCTTACTACTTGCCTAACTCTAACCTTAACCTAAGCCTAACTCCTTTACCTTACCTGAACCCTAACCCCAATCTTAACCTAACCTCAACCTAACCCTGACCCCTAACCTAAACTTAATCCTGACGCTTCACCTAAACCGAACCTCAAACATAAAACAGTTCTTCATCTTGCAATTTAATGATTTATGTTACATGGACTTGTTTTTGTCCCCATAATGAGAGTGTGTAAACTGATAACTCATAAGTAATACCTGGAGCCCCCCTCCCCACACACACACATGGACTGATACCCAGGTGAACACACAGCGCATCCATCATAACATCAGTGATCTCAGAGGCCATGTGTTACTATCATCGACCCTGTTTGAGTCTGTGTGTCAGACATGAGACTTCGGTGGAGGCTGCTGGTGGCACAGAGGGGGGCAGACAGAGGAGGGGGCTGGCTGGGATGACAGTGTGGAGCCAGTCCGACAGACAGAGTACCACTCCCTGGGAATCTCCTTCATCATCATGGACATTATCTGCCTCTGCAACGTCCCCCACACAGCACTCAAATACAAATGAAACAAAACCCACGGAGCAGAGGTGGCGAGAAAAACACACAGAGAGCCGGAATGAGCCGCGGCCACTTACCGTAACGTAGCTGTGCGTGGCTGCCACCGTCTCCGTCTGCTTGTCAGCGGCGAGAGAGGAGCCTGAGTCCGGGCACCTTGTTTCCCCCCACACGGCCACGGTAGGTGAGGCGAGTCCGCCCCGGCCGCCTGGTTAACCGACGCAGCTTCACTCCACTGGGGGAAATAAACACGACTGTGGCCGATGTTTTTCCTCCACACTCGAGGGGACCCCTTCGCTGTCGACGAGAGGAAGAGCGAACAACTCGCTAGAAGAAGAGGCAGCGCTTCTTCCCGACGCAAGCAGGCGGAGGTTTCTCTTTTTTTACATCCGCTCCTCCTGCACCGACACGCGGCTGCAAGGCTCGAGAGAAGCCGCCGGAGACACACACACACGTCGCTGATATCCGTCACTTGGCATTAACACACACGGCTGCTCTCAGTTTGCGCACCAGTCAGTGTGTGTTCGCTGCTGAACAACAACTCGCAGCACACTGACGGACGGGCACACGCACGGCGGCTCCTCCTGCCTCGTAAAGTCAACGAACCTCCCAACAACAAGAAACTCTCACAAGCGCCTTCACGATATAAGTAACAAACGCGTTTTACATAACGAGGACATCCTCATCCTACTTCTGCGCTGGAGCATGTGATGGCAACATGGTGAGCCTTTTAAAGGCGTATCCACGCGTAACTGCGGCCAGGGGGGGCCGCCTCTCACTGGATCCACCCCCAGTTCACTTAGTCTGGAGGATGATGTGCTGTGCTATTAATTGGACATGGAGGTGACTAGTCTTTCAGACCACAAGAACCTGTACACAACACCTGCTGTGTGTCTCGATAATCATTCATCTGCTAATTCCGCAAACGTTTGTCTGTCTGTCTGTCCATGTGCGCAACGAATATCTGGCAAACCGTTCAACTTCTGCGTTTCACATTTGCCCAAAACTAACCTTAACGGGGTAGTTTACAGGAAAAGTTTAATTAACTTATCATCTACTCACCACTGTGCCGATGGAGGGGTGGGGGAAGTGTTTGAGTCCACAAACACTTTTGGAATTTCAAGGGTAAACAGTGTTGCAGATCAATTTTGATGTCTGATTTTTATATTGCACCATATCGGACTGTTGAACTGACTTGTGACAGGTGCTGATCTGTGACCTCTGAAAAAATAACAGCCATTAAGTAATCAGCACACATGTGAACAGTAATAAAGCAAATGTAGTTTCATTTTATGAAAAACATTGACTATAAAATATGCATTGCAGATAAACCAGGTAGGATGAACAGAAAGCTGACTAACTTCACTGTACAGCACACAAACTATAAAATGTGACAGTATATTGTAGAACTGTTGGAGGAGGACTCACTAATGACAATGCTTATCATTCTGAAGTAGCTTCACAGCATCAACACAGGACATGAGAACAGTCCATTCCAAACAGGCAGGATCAGAACAGTTACTGCTAAAGCAAGAAGCCAGGAGGCTTTGACAAGACATTGAGTGTATGCCTGTTGCATTATTGACTCTAAAATGTTAATGCTTATCGTGCAAACACTCACTTTTTCCACTTTTAACAGTGCAATATTCATCTCTGCCTGTGTAATTAATGGCTAATGTGCAACTTCTCCACTCATATTCTCACACAGTACATATTCTGTTAACACTGTATATATCACAGCACTCTGCATGTTTACTTATTACTCTTCTGTCTATTTTTAACTATGCTCTTAACTGCTGTAACACTGGAAATGGCCCTGTTGTGGGACTAATAAAAGATAAAAAATTATGTAGCTTGTACTTTGACTTTTTAGTCCGGTCTTTGTCCCATCCACCAACATGGAGGAGGTAGGGTTCATGGCCTATGCTGCAGCCAGCCATGTGATGTGCTCCATCTTTGCATACAGTCGAATAAGTGGTTGTAGTACATGTTGGGAGTCTTAAATTGTACAAAATGTGTATTATCTGTTATGGAATACTGTCAAAAAACATGGTTGTTGGTTGGCTAATGCAGTGCGAATGGGGGATATAAATACATATACATTTAAACCAAAGGTCAACAAGTTGGGTCCCAAACCCCCCATTTTCACAGTTTGTCAGATGTTTGTAGGTAATTCTATAAAATTCCAAATTCCAAAATATGCAACATGAAAATGCAGCTTTAACTTAGGAGGATCCTGCAGTAATCTCATGTCCACACCTATAATAGATTTGTGGTGGTGAAAATGTGCAGGCCTTAACCAACACATGTTAGACAGGATGCATTTTCTCTCAGTCTTCATTAAATTTCCAAATCAAATGTGTATTTCAGTATTGGTGTCTCTATAACCTCAATTTACACTCATAATTAACTTCACAGAGAAGTTCTTTAAGCAGCTATGACTTCACCACAAGTCAAACATATTTGATATTTTCATTAACTGTTAATTAAATGTTATTATTCCACCAAGCAATATAAATCTTGAATAGCAGCCAACAACGTGATTGGCAATTGTATTCTGACTGCTGTTGCCCCTGCATATTAATATTGCATAAACTTTTATGCAGCTTTGTGGGTTTGTTGTTGTGGCTCAAGTCCAAATAGAGTTCAGATCTGACCTCAAATAGTCAAGGTCATGTGCAAGTTAACGCTTGACGTGTGAAATCCAAGTCCAAGTCTCCACTTTGAATAATCTATGTAAGGAATATATATATATATATATATATATATATATAATAGCATTTCGACTTGTAATAGGAGACAAACCATGTTGAGTTTCTTTCCTTATTCACATTCAGATTTTTCAAGGCTTTCACTCTGAACACAGCTCCTCTCTGTCAAATAACCCATTGCATGTAAATTAGCTCTGCTCCTGCTCAAGACTGTTTATCTTTGCTCATATACTGCAATATCTGTAGATACCTGCCATATCTGCCTTAGTATTTATTGACATTATTTTCTAGCATCTACGTTTTAAATCTAATTCAATTTTATCTGTATGCATTTAAATAAGAACAAATTAAAGAGAAATTCCATATAATCACTGATTAATGCAGTTTTTAATGTTTAACATTTACAGCTATGCTGTGTCAAAACATCTTCAGTGAGAAAATTATATTTCAATGTACAGTTTCTTAATGCATATAAAACAAAAAACTACATTTCCCAGCCAATAGATAATTGTTATTTTTAAACCTAAGGGCTAGACTTCAGGAGAATAAAGCCTTGGACTCTTCTGTAACTTAAATTGCAAATCAACTTACACTGCAATGTGATGTCTTCTATGTCCTTTGTCGAGGAATAAAGAATAACGTTTGGTGTCTGTCTTACAGTCACTCTCCACTTTAAAACAGTATTTAAAGAACATACAGCAGATATGTACTTGTTATTGGGACTGACTAGCACACTCAAGCAGGTGTTCTCATAGGATCTCTGCTCAGGTTGAAGGTGGGTGGAGAAGAATTACCCGGGGCCACAAACTATGTCAACCAATAGGAATGACAGAAATGTAACACCACCACCCTATCAGGTGTCAAAACACTAATAAGAGGGTCAGAGGTCAAGGTGTCACAGCATGAACGTATAAAATGTACATAAAGATGGCCGCTCCGCAGTGGCTGGCTGCAGTACAGGTCATAAACCCCACCTCCTCCATGTTGGTGGATGGGATGTGGGACAAACATCATATGATGTATGTTTTCATTGTTCATTTTGCTGTTTAGTGTGGTTTTAAGTGGTTCTTTGATTTCACACTATTGGGTGTTTAATGTCCCATTCTAAAGGAGCAGGAAGTTTCAACCAGTGCGTCTGGTTAAAAACACAACTGACAAAAGTGAACTCTGGGTCCAAATACATCAAAAGCAGCCATCTGAGGAATATGGCTTCAGTTTTTAACAATTGGAGGAAGTGGAGATATTGTGGTCCATGTTTATATGGTGAAAACACAGGTGTAGGTGGATCTTAGGTTTTTTAATCATCCACACTAGCAGTTTAGCTTGTTTGTAATGTTTGGTCTTTCCATCACTTTAGTCCAGACCATTTAAATCAGATTAGGTGGGTATAATTAGTTTTGGGCTGCTTAAACAAATTCTTCTTCTATAGTAAAATTGTATGGCAGTTTGAGGGTCTCTTGTGAGCTACTTTGTGTCACTCAAATCTGGCTGACACAAATGAACAATTGGTGGCACTGTACAAATTGACAAACACATTCATGGTTGCCAGAGGATGACACATATAATGAGAATCCTATAATTTCCTCTGACGCAACCATGAGGTTGACATTTGTGGTTTTGAGTCTCAGAGGTGGAATGTAAAATTTGGAGTCACATCCCCTTAGGTGTAATTGTACCATCTTTAACATTGCATCTAAATTGTCCAATCGTTTGGTTTATGGTTTATGGTAAACATTGTACCTGCTTAACATCATGTTAGCATTATCACAACGAAAATGTTTGCATGTTGACAGTTAGCCCAAAGGAACACTGCGTCTACCTAAACACAACCTAACAGAGTTAACAGCATGGCCGTAGATTTATTTATGTGGTTATACCAGAAATGACTTGAGGGTGCCGACCTATAGCCAAAATCTGTCTGTCAGTCTAATATGGGAGGATTTGGTTAGTGTTTTCCAAAAATCAATAAGTCTGTATCCAAAATAAGGAAGAAGTTGTGATGCAAGGAAAACTCCAACTGTATTAAACTGAAATAACAATGGCTTTTGCAAAGGGTTGGGGCTATTATTTGAAAAAGGTCAGTAACTTCTGTAAAACATAAGCTTTAAAGCAACCATTGTCCAACACCTTGTTATAATTTATATTACTATTAAACTTGTACATGCCATTTGATCAGGTTTCTAATTATTGGATGGTGAAAAGGGACTGAGCTGTCCAGGCTCATTGTGCAACACTCAGTTTAACCGTAAACTGCCAATGTAGGGCTTATCCTTAATTACACACACACACACACACACACACACACACACACACACACACACACACACACACACACACACACACACACACACACACACAGTATACACACAGTGGGATTCACAATTAAGCTGAATCAGTATATAGGATTGTTGAAGAGAACAAATGCTACCTAGACAGTGGAAAAGAGGAAAAGAGGCAAGCTGGAACATGAACTGGTTCTGTGACAACAGCAGGGTCCACAAGTCTCTGTCCCACACACACACACACACACACACACAAAGACAGACATATGGTCACACCCAGACACATTGTTTTCTCCTTTTCCAATTCCAGACCTTATATTTCAACCCTAAAATAAGGAGATTATTGTGCTTACGTCCATCACACTGACTATATTTGAAACGATAAGTAGTTTGTCTTTTCTCATATTCTGTCATATGTTTACTGCCCCACTCTAAAACAGGAACAGGAAGTTTTAACCAGTCCATCTGGTTAGAAATAGAAACACACATTACTTGAGCTCTCTGTCCTCCTCTCTTTCTCTCTCTCGTCTCTCTTTTATACTGTACATATATATATATATAACTTTGACACAGTCCCTCAAACTGTCCTCAATTAATAGAAGGGACATCAGAGTTAACATGCTTACAAATGGGTATTAGGTTGAGATGTTAAAATGTTTCATTGGACATTGCATTATAAGTCAAAGTGTGGCATGTTAATTAAACCACAAAATGACAAAAATTAGGTGGAGAACGTTCCTGTTCTCGCAGGAGTTGTATTCTGTGATGTCATCCAGTGGAAAAACATGTCACTCCTTCAAGTCAGACACAAAGCTGGTCTCAAGATGGAGCTTTGAAAAGCTCAAAGGTAAAACGTTAATGACTCCCACCCTTCAGTGTTTCCAGCATCCTCTTGTTCTCGTTCTCTCTATAATGAGCGCAGCCAATCATCAATCCAGATTCTTGCCACCTTTCAGATCTTGATAACAAGGGTGTGTGGTCAGTGATGCAGCAAATCATATCTCTCCCGACTTCTGTGACAACAACACAGAAGTGACTTTTTTGTGCGATCTATAATATCTTTTATAATATGAATGGAATTTCTGTCAGCTTCCTCAGCTTGAGGATCTTAATTTCTTGCATTGGACTTGTGGGTAACGTAATTCTCATCCTCTCCATCATTCAGACCAAGTTCTTCCGAGTGAAGTCCTTTGAGTTCTTTCTGCTGGGACTGGCCACGGCCAACCTGGAGGAGATTGTCATCATGAACATCTACGACACTGTCATTCTCGAGGGTTACTTCATCATCACGAGCACATGGCCGTGTCGCATTCTCAAGTTTCTGACTGTGTTTGGGGAAATCAGCAGCATCCTCTTCACTGTCCTCATCAGCATCTACCGCTACCAGAAGCTGCGAGACGCCAGCAAGAGGGCCAGTCTCCCGATCTGCCTGGACAGCATCAGGTCAGCGTGGATGGTGAGCGGGGTTTGTGTGGCGCTTTCACTGCTGCTCAGTTTCCCCAGTTTTGTCATAAAGCTGCATGGCCCTGCGCACAATGCGACAGGAGACAGAGGCAGCTGCCCACCAGACTTCTTTCAGTGTGATAAACATTTTTGTCCCCTAATCAACTGTATCTACAAATACATGTTCCTCATGATGTGCAACCTGCTGCCTCTCATCATTGTCACAGGCACCGGCTGCCTCATCATCAGAGTGCTGCTGAGCCAGGGGAAACGGGTGACATCCGTGGCGAGCGTGAGCATGTCGAGCCAGAACACCAAGAAGAGTAAAGGTCCGAGGCTTCAGCGAAGCTTGATAGCTGTGCTGGCCGCTATGGGGTTGTTCCAATTAGACTGGACTCTCTACCTGATCTTCCAGCTGGCTTTCATGCCCACTGACTTGCCTTTTTGGGATGAAATGGAGTTCTTCATCTCAGCTTCTTACGCATCCATCAGTCCCTTTGTGTACGGGATAGGAAACAATCTGTTCTCTGTCAAAAACTTAATGAGGAAGTGGGGTTAGAATAATCAAATTTTTTAACATTTTCTTTTGTTAAATTGTGATTTTAATCACAATTTAACAAATCAAATAACTGTTTAAGCTCATCCACAAAGATATGTTTTATGAACTACAAACTGCCTCCGGTTTTTCACTGCACTTGTGAACATAACAGCTGTGATTGGAAATGAGCATTACACTGGTGCATAAACCAGAATGACCTAAAGGGTTTAGAGAACCAATGCTTTTCCTCACTTTCCAAACCAGCAGATTCATAACTTGACCCTGTCACTTCTTCATCTTCTACTGTGCTATCATTGACATGTAAGTACAGACTTTGTGGATAAGATTTGAAGCTGCGTGCATAGATGTGTGCAACTGAACTCTGAAGTGCTCAGCTCTTGACAACTTGTCTCATCCATGAACATTTTGTCGTGTGACATGTCGCGTGCATTGACACCTTCGGCCTAAATGTTAGCTCAGCAGAAAATTAAACATGAACAACTAAATTTTATGATTCTGTCTTGATGTGGGACAAAAAGAGGATTCAACTTGTGGTCAGGTTTTTCAACATCACTAAAAAAGAAGAATGTAAACACTAAAAAATATTTGATTATAAAAATACAATGAGTAGAATCTGGTTTTAAACGTGTAGTGATTGATTCAATAGGTTATTATATCATTTCATGGTCAGTTTAAACTTGGTTTGACAGTTGTGACAGAACTCACAAAGGTCATATACAAAGTCTGTGCACAGTTTATTGTCTGCGCTGCCACTTCTGATTTTGTCTCAGTGATATCACATTTTGGTAGATGTCCTCACATATCGTTTGTTATGCAAAAATGTTACCAATAAGAAGAATAAAAATCGATGGTTTTTAAATTATTAATATTTAAATGTATATTTAAGTGTATTTAGAATTACAAACCTGTCTATTGGGACAGCTGTGTGTGCACCCTCTGAGTTATCTGTCTGCTATTTTACTGTGTAGTAATTATTTTATGTTTAATGTATAACAAATAATATGATCATCCCAGCACATTTATCTGGAAATTGAAAAAGCCCCTGCAGTGAGCATTAGACTCACTTTTAAGGGATTTTATGGGGGGTTTACCACTCAGGTGTTGTTTTGCATTGTAAATATCTTTATCTTCATTTATTTATTCTCTTCACACACAGCTTGTATGGAAAAGGCTTTCAAAGTCCATCCCTCACGACTGAATTCAGCTGTCAAAGCAGGAAAACCCCACAGGTCTGATTATAGTTCTGCTCCAGGATTAAGTGAACATGAGGTGTTGTCAGGAACACACTGCAGCGCGTCACCACGAGACGTCCACGTGGGTCACAACCGACGGGTTCACGTGGATTTCTTTCCCCCACTTCCTTGTCGAGATTAGACTCCGCCTTGTTGACATACACATCATATTACATTTGATTTGATCGTAATTTCGTTTTTTTTCATCTGTATTCGCTGGATATTAACACAACAGTGAACTCCACCCATTCAGAAAATGTGAGTGCCTTGTGTTTTTTTAATGGCACACGCGAGAAATGCCCCAGATGTCTTTATCTCACGATGCATGGTGTCAAACACAACAGCTGTCATGCATGCTCAACACTTTTATATTATTATTTGTATTATAGTCATGGAGGCATTGAATACATCTCAGCCCCCTCCCCTCACCATCTATCAGAACAACGGTGGACAGATAACATCTTCAAACCACAGACACTTTTGACAATAAGACAAAAAATTAAACATTAATGAATTTTACATCGACTCCATCAGTTCACTGATCCATTATATTTGATGAATCATGTGGCTAAATGGATGGTCAGTGGCCATATTAAGGTTAGACATAATAATATTTGGGGTGGGAAATACAGTATATATATATATGTGTGTGTGTGTGTGTGTGTGTGTGTGTGTGATTTCTGATGATTTCTTTATTTATATGTATTTAATTCACTTGAAGAAATGTATAATTCCCAGATCAGATATTAAATTAGATTAGCATGTTAGTATAATATTTATATGAATCAATTCCCTGTGTACATTAGAATTTAATATTAAGGCTAAGCAGGATTTACAGGGTGTGTAAATATTGTACATATTTGGCCATCAAAAACTATAGGTTACCGCAACCCAGTAAATAGCCACCACCCAATAATCGCCGTGCATCAACTTCCTGTACAACTTTTTTGGTCATTCTTAGACGGTGATAGAATAGCTTTGATTCAGGCTATCAATATTCAGCTAATTTATTCTGTCTAGGTGTTTATATAAAAGTATATTAAAGGTTATATAACTTAGCTGAAGGTTGTGTTGTTGTGATTGTGGTTTGGATCATTGATTAGCCTGTAGGTGTAATACTTAACATGTAGCGTAAAGGTACTATAGGGCCTATTTAGGCAAAATAATAATGAATAAGCGTGTATTACCTTATTTAGTAAAGACTGAAAAACCTCAATATTTAGTTGGCTGCACCCCAGTAAATAGCCACCACCCAACACCATGCTACAACTTCCTGTCCATGTGTGGAAACTCTTACGTGACGATAACTTATGTGGTTATTTATATTCAGTGTTTTCGTTATCACAGATGTTTGCACTACAGAAATGTTTGGGCCATGTGCGATGTTTTTATTTTTTAACCGCGACTACTGTCGCCATGTTTGCAAGAGAAAACAATGGTCACCGCAGTTTAGCTGCGTGTCCACGAAAATAGAAGTTTATAGGTTTAAAGTGCGCAGGTCAGATTGGACGATCGGGGAGCAAACACGTGGGTGTTGTAGCATTTATGATATTTTATAACCAACTTCACACGTGCAGCGGTTTATTTTGGGTCGTCTTCACTCCGGACAGTGACACGAGGAAAAAACAGGTCGTAAAAATCCTCCGGAGGGAGCGTGAGGATTGGCTGCAGGAGCGCAACCGCCATGGTGATCGCCTGACGTCACGACCCGAGAGCACGGATGTGTGTGTAAGTGTATGTGTGTGTAAGTGTGGGGGGGGGGCGAGAATAGAGACGTGATCGTCAAAGGTGAAACAAGTGAAGAGGAAGACAACAGTCTCAGGTGTGTGTGCGTGCGTGTGTGTGTCAATAACACAACACACACACCCTCGTGCAAACTTGTTGTCCCCACCGGCTCGCGCACGGACTCCCGCTCTCCTCGCGCTGCTGGCGACCCGGGAAACGCGCGCCATCGAGGAGAGAGAGAGAGGTGGTGGGGGGGGGGTGCTGATATTCGTGCATGCGCTTTGACTCCTCCGCGTGCACGCTCGGGTCGGTCGATACGAGCACACACTGGCGTGGCTCTCGGCCTCCATTTGCCAGTTCGTGTTTATGTTCGAGGACCCGCGACGAGGCTCGTTACAACCGGCGAGACGTGCAACAGTCGCGACTCTCCGCCGGGAACAGTGTCTCCGCCGCCGGCCACGAGGAGCTCCAACCGACGGGTAAAAGGTGAGGCGCGGGGAAACCTGCAACTTTCCCCAACTTGCTGAGTGGAGGAGCGGACGGCCTTCCTCTCCTCCTCGCGCTGTTAAAGCTGGTGTTAAACAACTTGAACCACCAGCCCGGCTTCATATTTGAATTGTTTACGTAGTTACGCGGTGAATAGTTGTGTGTTTGTGTTGTAAACACGCCGGTAGTTGGTCGCTCGGAGCGCTCGCTCGGCCGGTCAACACCTTTTCCTCAGACCCCAGCATCTGTGTGTTGGTGTGACCGTGTGAGATGAACCGTGGGGCAGAAAACAGGTTTCCTCCGTGGTACCTCTGTCGTCGACGGAATTGAACGCGTGTGGGGCTGCTCAGGTGGGACACCGTGCACGATATGTGTTTGTGTGTTATCTGTAGTTAGAATCGCAGGCCCCGTCCCAGCATTTCAGCCATGTCCTCAGCTGAGTGATATCTGCCAGGCCATTGGTCAGTCACACCGAAGAGGTCTCGCAGCTCCGTCCAGGAAGACAAAGTCCAGCTCCCTCACACAGCCAGGAGAAAATGATCAAACTGAAAAATACTCACACATAAAGTCAGTTTTGATTTTTAAAATGGAAGTACAACCAGTCACATGTCATCCAATGGAGATTTTAAAGGGTGCTGACCTAACCTAAGGCAGTTACTGTTTTTCTCCTCCAGGGGTTTTACCCTGACCAGGTTTAATTTAAAATCATTTTGTATTGTGTTAAATATGTATATGCAACATCCTTCCAACTTATCAACCTACTCTGTGTCATGCCACTAGGGCTGGGCAATAAAACAGTATCAATAATTGTCGCAATGTCATTTTCACATATAGCAGTATCACAACAGCCTAAATATTATATAATATATGAAATATATTTAATATAATGTATAACAATATTATCTTATTCATATAGCGCTTTTCAAAACAAAGTTACACAATGGAAAACACACAATTAAAAGTACATAAAAGAATAACAAAAACACAGTCATAAAGCAAACATGTGACATAAATGTCATACAATAATAAAAACTACAATTAGGTAAAATCATCTTCTTCTTTGTTTGGTTTATTGGCAAGCTTACAGAGTCGGTAAAAACTAAACCAGAGCCCTGTACTAGGTAAAATCATGCATTGTGGTAAAAGTAGGTTTAAAGCTTTGATTCAATCTGGAACTGTTCAAATGTTTTGAATTCTCTTATATGTGCAGGAATCATCACAACAACTCAGCTCACCCATAGTGTCACACAAGGGCTGGGCAATAAGTTGAAAAACCTAATAATCATTGTTATTTATAATTTCTTTTCTTTGTTTTTTCTACGTATTCATCATTGTGAGAACAAGTCGCCAGCAGCTTTTCAAAGGATGAGCTTTGGCCCCCTCTTGTAAATAAATGATCATTTCTCCATTAGCAGCTAATTTATTTTTCAGGAGGGTATGGCCTGATGGTTGATTCTCATTGGAATTCTTATTTGACATAAAGAGCTCTTTTATGAATCATGCAGATCAGATATCTTGAAATCGTCAGTCGCCTTTTTTTATTTTACAGTCACACCGAGAGCAACCACAGAAACCGAGAGTCGAATGCCCACTAAATTTGTGTAATATAGAAACAAGGCTTTGATATTGACTCTCTTGCTTCTTAGGTTGATATTTAGAGCAGAGCTGCACATTGTTTGTTCTAATCGCTGATCATTGTTTACATTTGTTGATTTATCTTTAGCAGCTTTGTCTTTCTACCACTTTTTGCTCTGCTTGGTTACGCTGTAATTGCTTCTCTTAACTTTTGTTGTAATTATTTAAAACAATACTTCTTGACCTGGATTTGTATGCTCTGTCTTGTCTGAGTAGGTTAATATCTTTGTTATATGTGTTTTACCTTTGGAGCACCACTCTACTAAATGAATAACATTATTATTCTTGTATCTTTTTTATGTTAGGTATTAAATGAAGTGGAATAACCATATCCGTTGCTGATGCCGGCAACAGACTCTGACCTCACGTCCATGGAGGACCCCCCTGCAGTGGAGGATGAGAAAGGAGGCCTGACTGACCTCCCTCCATCAGCTACTCCTGCTGCCATCATTGTTTCATCTCCTTTCCCTACCACTATGACAAATTTCACTGGTGAGACTGAGATGGAGAACAGAGCTGTGTCCATGGCAAGTCACAACTGCAGCTCTGCTCTTTCCTCACCTGCTGAAGCTAGCCCAGCCAAGCCTGCAGTAACATCCCCGAATACATGTGAAGGGACTGTTGAAACGAGCCCACCTACCTCAAACATAGCATCAGCCTCAGACTCTTTAAAATGCACAGGGACCAATCTTGTCAACATCACAGACTCATTACCGTTGTTGTCCGAGTTGCCATCCACCACGTTTGGCAGCGCAGAGCAGAAAAATGATTTTTCTCCTGTGCTAAATTTCAAAGGCATCACTGTCTCTCTGGAGAATAACAGCGTGTGGAAGCAGTTTAACAGCTGTGGAACTGAGATGATTCTCACAAAACAAGGACGACGCATGTTCCCGTACTGTCGGTATCGCCTGGCTGGCTTAGATCCTGAGCGCCACTACATCCTGGTCCTGTCCTTACTTCCGTCTGACCAGTTCAAATACCGGTGGAACAGATCCCACTGGGAGATCACTGGACCAGCTGAAAACCAGACCCAGGGTCTGATCAGGGCCTTCGCCCACCATTACTCAACTTGCAAAGGCTCGCAGTGGATGGGCGGCCTGGTTTCTTTCTACAAGCTCAAACTGACCAATAATTTCCAAGACCATGACGGTCACATAATCCTACACTCCATGCATCGCTACATTCCAAGGCTACATGTGATACCTGTCCCAGATGGAGTCACAACCACACCCGATCAGCCTGTGGTTATGGGACCGGAAAGCATGACCTTCACTTTTCCACAAACTGAATTCATGGCTGTGACGACTTACCAGAACTTTCGGATCACGCAGCTGAAAATTAACCATAACCCGTTTGCAAAAGGCTTCAGAGAGGACGGACACAACCCTCGTCTAATCCGGGTCAAGGCTGAGGCTCAATCTGTGGTGAAGATAGAGGCTCAGTTTAACATGTTGGAGCCAAATGAAAGCAAAGAGGGGATTGTGGATCTGAGGTAAGTTGTTGTTTTTTCATCTGATTTGCTCACTTTCTAATACATTCATATTCAACTGACAAACCATTTGACAGTTTGCTGCCTGAGATCATTTTCATTATCAATTGAAATAATGTGGTTTATATTTGTATTGTGATGTTGGTGCTGAGCACACATACTGACTCACTGATTTTAACCTATTATAACTACAGTATTAACTCAGTAAATCAACCATTATTAACGTCATTAAAGTAACAACAATTCAATTTTTAAATAAATAATGAGAATAAATTCTGCCCGCGGACTTACACAAACAATCAAATTACAGAATGTTAAAAAACTAAAAACATGTAAGTGAATTATTTTGTAAGACCAACCACTCATATGAGCTAACACCTGTTACACAGTCTTCACTAAAACGAAGAATTGTGTGTATTCAGTATATTAATTACATAACTTAAACCAGTATTTGCTTTGCCCTTCCAGATAGAAAGCAATTTGCGCTGCACTGTCTGCTGGTTTCAGAGCTAGATAGGTGGAGTTTGCATCAGTTTTTTTGTTTAGACATTTTCCCTACCAGCAACAAGCTACCTGACTCTTAACGCACACCTGACATACCTACTTGATTTGAAATGTGTTTCCATGATACTGCTTCCCTTCTGGTGTCGATATACACATAAACAGATTATTCAGGGAATTTAGACACACACACACACAATATAATTTTTTTTCTCTATTGTGCATTCCATGCCCGACTGGAAGCTTAGGTTGTATGAGATGTATGAGTGTTAGTCACAGCGAGCTTGAGGGCTCTCAAAGCTGTGTGCTGCCCTATAAGCAAGCAGTGAAAACCAGTCCTTGCGCTATTGAAAAGAATGGGTTTCAGAGTGCAGCAGTGCCTTTGTTGCATTCTATCTATAGATATAACATCCAAATCAGACTGTGTCATGGTTACAAGTTTTAGCATTTAAGCCTTTAATTCAATTATATGGACATATATATATTTATAGTATAAGGGAAAAGTGTGCTAACTAAACTACTGGAATTAGCTTGTTTAAATACCACCAACACATGTATTAAAAATTTATATATTTTAATGGAGATCATCATTAAATTTTCAAAACTTCTTCATGTTTACTATCAATAAACAATATTACTTTCAATTTATCTTACAGCACAAAGAATCACGTCGCCCCTGCCTCCGTCTCGAATGTGCAGGAGACTCGGCTGGTCCTGAAGCCCATAATGTCGACACCTAATAAGAACAAACAATATGTCCGCTGCTTACGAGGCAAGCATGCTCTTGGTGACCTCGTGCTTGTCGAAAAATGTCCACTTGTGGAATCCACGGAGGAAAATCTCCATAACAGTGTAACCCCTAAGTTGCAGCACAGCTTCAAAGCAATCTCCACGACTCCCACTCCATCAAAGACCTCCGTGGGGTCATCACCAAGGACCCGCAAGAAAAGGAAGAAGATGAACAGACGCTTGACGAATCGGGGAAGAGAATGGAAGTCTGCAGCTGCCACCCCTCCCAAGGTCGTCCACAGCCCGTCACTGACTGTGGCTTTGCAACCAGAGCTGGACGATGTCGAGGGCCTGTTGTTTGTCTCATTCACCTCAAAGGTAAAGCCACTTCAGATGACTAGCGAAGAATGGGCTGCACATATCAGCACAGCTCTGAAGGTTTATTTAATATAATCCAGGTGTGGTTCCTCCTCCAGTGATCCAGAGAGCTTGCTGACTTTTCAGCAAAGCTGCACACATTCCTGAAATGACATTTAGTTTTTCTGTAGCAGAAGGACTATGAGTGGTCAGCGGTTGAAGTTCTGTAAAGTGTATAGGCTTTTAAATGTCTTTTTTTGTCACAGGAAGCTCTTGAGGTTCACGTCAGGAACAAGCCACCCAATAGCACAGCACCAGTATCTCCAGTTTCCCAAATGAGTCAGAAGCAGCTGAAGCAAACAGGTGAACATGTAGAAGAGATTGTATTTCTTCACATTTTGATCTGTATTTGAACCTTTATGATACTGTTACAACCTCGTTTTATTTTACTCAACTAACAGTAATGCAAATGTTATGCTTGTGTTGTGATTTGTAAACATTTCTGTTGTGTGTGTGTGTGTTTCAGAGGAGCTGATCCCAGCGACTGATGAAGAGAAGATCGTTCAGAAGGAGGCCGTCCTGCTGCAGGACCTCAGAGTTTTCAAACACAGACAGGTCATCCACCCTGTGCTGCAGGAAGGTGAGTTAATACAAACACACACAATCATCCCATTGGTCGACCAGGTTTTACCAAATAACATATTATGAATATGATCTGTCTCTAACTCCTTTCTGTCCTTTTTTAGTTGGTTTGAAGCTGAGCTCTCTAAACCCTACCAAGTCTGTTGACCTGCAGTATGTGGGGGTTCATCTGCCTCTTCCTCCAGCGAATCTACCAGAACAAGTCAACTCCACAGCCCTGTCTCTTGGTGGTAAGTTGGACTGATTGATGGTATATTGTCATTGTACACTTAATTTGTGCCAGTGTTGCCATAATAAGAAAGTAAATAAAACAATTAAACCCCAAGATTTAACTTGGGAGTTTCTCTTGTCAGACAGTCTGACCATCTGGGGAAATGGGATTGTGTAATAATAGACAGTCTTAATCCTTATTGGTTTGAATATAGGATCGAAGACCCTTAATCAAGCAGCCTCAGGCTCAACTTCCTATCTAGTATTGCACCCTTAAGTCTTCAATTATACTCCCTGTTGGTTGTGCACACAGACAGCTGCAGACGCCACAGATGTATAGTTCAAAATAAATCAAAGTCCATGTGGTCCATTTAACTTGGGCACAACTAGACATGAAACAGTCACCCGTTTCAATGTGAACCACAGTCGAAATGGGTAATATTGTCTTTTTTCATGAAAATCACGTTTGACCACGAACTCTTGGTAAATATGGTCAGTATCAACCAAAGTTAGCAACAAGTGTGTTTTGTGCCAATGAAAATATGGCAGAAAGCTTTGACTTATAAGAGGACCAGGTCTGAAGTATATTCGTATTTTGGTTTTATAAAACTACAGGTCACATGCGGTAGAGAAATTGCTGGAAAATGTAATGTTCAATGCAAGTACATTTTCAGCACATTCTTCAACACCTGAAATTATCATTTCTGTCACTATTGTCATGTTACTGAATTTTTCACAAAATTTGATCTTAAAACATGATATTTTAAGTTCTGAAATATCTAATTGAATGTTCTTTAATAAGTTAAGTGTAGCCACTGTGCAGGTTTGTCTTGTTTGTGCGAATCTGCTCTGTTAACACACTTGTCATAAAGAGAGTCAGGAGATTTGTTATGATTTCAAGAAACAACCGATCAGAGTGTAATCTGATGTCTACACGAAGCCTTGCCATGTGATGATAAAATGAATGTCACGGTGACCCTTGCAGGCCCTTGATTACGTATTTGCAGATGCAGAAAAAATAACTCTAGCTTAACTACAGGGTCATTGCTCAGAAGCCAACCTCGATGGAACAGAGATAATAGTGATTACAAATATGAGATTAGAGCCTTGTATGACTGAAACAGTGTGTGGCTGAAGTTGTTTAAGAAAATGGCCTACAAATAGTTTTGAAATGCCGTTGGATCAAACACGTCACAAAGAAATTACAAACTAACAAGTCAGGAGGGCCTGGCTCAGAGTGGTTCCCAGGACACCTCTGCTTTGTTGAGGTGAATTTATCAGCCTCTGAAGCAGATAGAGACATGAAATAAGAAATATTTGATAGCTTACACTTTGGCTCTTATTCTAAATCATCACTTTTTCCCTTAAGTTCATGAATATTAAAAAAAAAATTAAGCTGGCTATTCTTTGATATTCCCCCCTTCTTCCTCAAACACGTCACATACCCCAACCCCAAAGGCCAAAACACCTGATGATGCTAAATCCGCTGGAGTCCGTTGCTAATTGTAGTTCCAATCTTGTTCTCCTGTGAACAGTTGTTACTATCAAGGATTGCGGCTCAACTTAAGCATTTTCATGTTTTCCTTCGGTGAATACATTGTTTTCTGCAATAATGAGAATAAATGTAGAGAAATCTGTTTCCAAAATAGCACTTAAACCCCCCACACTCTGAAACATTTTTTTTTTAGTGTGCTTTGTCCTTAAACTGAAGACTAACACAGAATATTTCCTTCACAGAAAAGAGTCTACCCTTCATCTCCAGGACAGGGAAGACAAGTGACATGACAAAAATAAAAGGATGGAAAAACAAGTTCATAAAAAACAAAGAATCATCTTTTAACACTGATGGTGAGGCTTGTTCTCCTTGTTGTAGTATCTGCTGTGTCCCTTTTATCATTCACTGGGATTAGTATAGTCATTGTAATTACTAAAAGATTAACTGAATTGAAACCAGCTGAATATATTAGTGTCTGATTCATTATTAGTGTCTGATTCATTATTCCCCGTTGATAAATTAAAGTCTCTTTATTCTTCCCCTCCAAAAGGATTACAAAAGAACCTATCTGCCTTCTGCAGCGACTTGTTGGATGAGTACTTGGAAAGCGAAGCTCAGCAAATCAGTGAGCGGGCTGCTGCGTTCTCCACGAACTCAGAGGGCTCTGTGGCCTATCAGCTGCCCGCTAAAGGCTCCAGCTACGTAAAGACCCTGGACAGCGTGCTCAAGCATCGGAACCCTGCTTCCAACAGACCATGCCCGCTCTCCCACAAACCCCTCCTCTACTCTGCCATGACGTCACAGGCTCCCCCTCTGCCCAGCCCTGCCACACCCATTCAAGCCAAATCTCCGTCCACACTGACAGAAGATGCAAAAGCCGCTTCTGGGTCTAGTGCTTTTTCAAACAGGTACGCAAGAACTATTTTCTTTTAGTGATCTTTTAGTGATTGCCATGGGAAATGTTTTTGTATACAGGCTTTCCGCAGGTTCTCAAAAAGTCTTAAATTTAATAACGTGTATTTTAGGCCATAAAAAGTCTTATATATGCATTGAAATATTATGCACTATTACATACTGCTACTGAACGTTGTTGTGGCAGCATGCATAGCTAGTAACGTCTCAGATATTGGCACGCTGAGAGTCTACAAACACCTTGGTCAAAATTGATCTCAATTTACTTGGCTTGACTGTGTGAAAGACTGTGGATACTGTAGTTTGTGAGATTAAGTTGTGTATCAAGGGTTATTTTCTACTTGGCTGCTTCATCTATTTGAAATATTCAGTGCTGAATCTGAAATCTTCAGAAAACTCCTCAAGCACCACCTCTTCACTAAGTCCTTTGGCCTAAGTTAATGCTCCACCCTGCTGCTAAATTTGATCCTGTTTTGTATTATTACTTTTTTCTTTTCTCTTCTGTCTTGTCCTCACAAACTTATATAAAGCATCCTTGGGTCCCGTGAAAGGCGCTATATAAATTCAAGCCAATATTATTATTATCTTCAATTATGGGGGAGTGTAAGTATTTCTGTGACCCTGATATTTATTCATATCTGTGGTAATTTAATCCATTACAGTCTTAAAAAGTCCTATATTTATCTTGTTGAAACCTGGTGTTACTGAGATGCAGTTTTTTTCATTTACTAGTGCAGTGCCTGTTCTAAATCTGCCTGTTTGGAAAGGGCTGCGATCTACAGAAACCTGATCAGAACAAAATTTTGCTTAACAACAAAAGTATTGTTCGGCTTTACAAAAAGTGCAATAAGATGGAACAGTTCTTGAGATATGTGAGACTCTTACAGACAGACAGACTGGAATTATTTGATAGATGAATCGTTTCTCGGCCCATGTACGACCCGGGGGCCAAAGGGTTCCCACCACCGAGCAAGAGAAAAGGGAAACTGCCGCTCAAAACATTATTCTGCACAGTTATCTGTAATTACTTTTCATTTGTTCTTTGTTCTTGCAATTTCAAGTTTCACAGCTTTTACCAAATGTGTTCAAGTCTTTAATCTTTCTAAGAATAACTCATGAGCTTATGTCTTGCTTGTTTGTCTGTGTTTGTAGAACAATGTAGACATGCTTTCCTTGAGGAGATGTACACAATTTACAAGTTCAATCTGAATAAGCACTTTTTTATTCAAACAAATATGTTCCCATGTACACTCCCCCTCATCATTCTGCCTACAGTCTTTTATCTCATTGTTTTTCCCACTAAATTTCAAACCACACGGAACATAATTTGTTACTCTCTCTCTTCAGATCATCTACACACCACCCAGCGAGCTTTGGGCAGAACCAGGGGATAACACACAGACCTTCAGGCTTAACTAAGTTTGAGCTCAAAATGTCACAGATAGAGGTCGAAGCCCTGAACAAGGGTCTGAACAGAACACAGCTGACTCCAGATAGACTGACAGTGGCTCTGTCTGTACTCCTGACAAAACAGGTATGTGACATACTGTGTTCCCACAGTCATTTGATACCAGTGATGGGCTGTGTCTGGTCTGATGTCTTTTTTTGGTCAAGTAAAAAGTAATTCTTCATTTTGTAATGCAAAATCTAAATCAGAGAGGTGTCTGTCTTCTCCTTTCCTTCTAATCAGATGCATATTCCAGGCCTGAAGGTACCTAGTCCACAGTTTAAAGATGCTGGACTAGAATGTGGTCAGGAGTTCTGCAGACTGGGCTGTGTGTGTTCCAGTCTGCAGCATCTGAACAGTGGTCCTCTCCACTGCCGCCGGCCTGAATGCATGTTTGGTTGTGCCTGCTTCAAACGCAAGATCACCAAGCACATTTCTGCTGGGGAGAGGGAACCAGATATCCAACCTGTTTACTGTAAGATTTTTTATATATTTTTTATTTTTATGCTGATGACTGATAAATGATTATTTCATTTTGTATGGCTTTTGATTTATTTTGACCTTTTTGACTTTCTGTTCAGTTTGATTGCAAGCCTCAGTAACTCACAAGTGTTAATGGCATGCTTTTATCCCTCCTCAGCTATGACTAATATGCAACATGTGGTTCAACCTCGCCCCGGCTCCCACACTAATAAACTGTGGAAACGCAACATTTGTGATGTGGATGCAGAGCCGCTCTTCGTCCCAGAAAGTCCTCAGTATTTGGTCTCTGCAAAGAACGTGAAACGCAGCAGTGTAACTCGTCTAACACAGCCGGTAAATTAAAATCGTCCTTTTATTGGGTTTAATTGAAGCTTTCCAAATGTTTGTACTAAGAGCTCTTGATTTATTCATGAGATTCTTGTAAATATTGCTGTTTATTTACTGTTTTATTTTTTTAATGATCAAAAACTGAATGCTCATGTTTTTATTTTTCTTTAATCCATTTTTGATTATTTTAGATTAGAGAGGAGGACAAGGATCCAGTGTATAAATACTTGGAGAGCATGATGACATGTGCACGTGTAAGAGGGGTTAACAGCAAGCCTCCTCCAAAAGTTACCATAGAGCCAAAGATCCCTGATGCGTCTTTGGCGTACACCGTAATGAAACAGAAGACAACAACTGACAACCTGCAGGGAAACCATCCAAGTTCTTTTAAGAAAACAGGTAAAGAAATGTCCATGCCATGGTGTAATTAAAACAGTGTATACCTACATTTTCTTAAAATCCTTATTTTGTTGTTTTGTGTTTTCTTTGAAAATAGTGTGTCCTTTGTGTTGGCTGTATGTACCCGACTGTATGAAACTGAAGATATTTGCCGTTATGCATAACCTTATCTCCTCATGTCCCTCAGCAGAGAAGCCCAGCCAGGAAACCATAGCCGGTAAAAAGGAAGCAAAGAATCAAATCCAGATCCAGTCAGCATGTCAGTGGAAACAGGACCACAAAATGGTCCTAGAAGCTTTATGTGAACGCATGAATCAGAAACGGTTGTCTAAGCGTTTCCGCATCGGACCATACCTCATCTGCCCACTCACCAAGATATCCATGCAAAAGCCCAGTGGCTCGACTGTCACATACAGGGTAGGTTTCCAGAGAGCAGTACAAACTCTCAATGGTTGTTCATTAGTTATGCTTGCCCTTGTTTCATTACTTGGATTTAAAAAAAAATCTCCTACTCTCCTCCATGTTCTTGTAGGTGCACATAAGTAAACCGTCAAAAGCCAGTGATAATGAGGAGGATGAATGTGACGACAGTGATGAGGAAGACGGCCTCAGTGAAGAGTTGGACATGCAGGTTGGAGTCATGCCTTTCCTTGGTGGAGTTTTACCTGCAGGCAAACTAAAAGCCAGGACCAAACCTGCTGGCAGCCAACCATGTGCACTTATACAGGTCAGCCTCAAGGGAAAACATCTTTTAATTTTGGGTTTACATGGGGGGGGGGGTACTAGTAGTAAATGACTGTTGATAATGTGTAAGTGTTGATAATGGTTGGGTGTGCTGTATTTACTTGTAATTGTAGAGTTTAACATTCTCATATATATATATATTTCTTGGCAGGTGAATGGCAAATCTTACAATCAGGCCAGACTGTTGCTGGGAAGAATGGGATCTTTACACCCAGCTAACCGCCTTGCAGCATATGTGACAGGCCGACTTCATGCTCCTGCTGACATCATTCATAAAAACTCTCAGAAGCCAGACTCAACACTAAGGAACAACAGTCATAGTGCTCTGCATGTGAAAGCCACAGATGGTGTAGTGCCTCAAAGCGTCACTGCAAGGAAAACCACTGAGCTGAAGATTCCAACCCAATCACCAGGTAAGATCGTCTCTTCTACGCCATAGCACACGCACGTTTTTGAAACTGTTTAGACAACAGCACACCTAAAGTGAAGCCAAATCATATTGATCGCCCCCTAATGATTGGTTGCAGTATAGGTCATTAAGACCCTGGTTCCTTCAGGTTAGTAGATATGACCAGGGTCAAACTAAAAAGTATATATCAAATACATTTTTCCCAAGGTGCCTGTCATTTTAAGTTGTTCTTAGTGTTTAGTTGTTCATATAACTGATAAGTTTGGTTTTAATTAGTTATTTGATGCTTGATATATCTGTTACTAGAACAAACAAACAGGCTGAGAAAAAAGCCGCATTGTAGTTATATCAGCATTAAATTAAACATTGCTGCTAATTCACAATATGAGAGAATCCAAGGATAAACCTTCATGTTTTTTGTTCTCCAGAATGTTTCTTCAAAGATTGACTCTAATCAAGCAGGATCATTATTTCTTTGTCTCACTGCCCTGCCTTGCATTTTCTGTTCCTCAGTTCCATTGCATCTCAACTCCTGGAGAAAAGGATCCACCACCTTCCCACAGCATTCACAAAACTCCTCCTGGATTAACCCTGTCCAAATGTTCATCTCGAGCCAGCTCAGCTCAGTCCAGACCAAGTCTTCGCCTGTCTCTCTCACTGTCTCCCCCTCATTGAAAAACCCCAGCTTCCTTGGACAGAGTGGGACTTATTCTTTCAGGATCTGCCCTCCAGCTAACGAGAGCACCCGAGGCCAGAATCCACCAGGAGTGGCCTTGCCTGGGGGCTTCACCATCATTGACCTCCCACAACCTGGATCTAATGACGCTCCACAACCTTCAGAAACTGTAAAGACTACAAACATGGCTGCTGTTAAAAATAAAAGTCTGCCACAACAAGATGCCTTGTTCAATTTTAGACAATCTGGTTGGGATGCAAACTGGCTCACTCCATCAAAAAGTACATTAGAGCCTCGCTCCTCATCTAAGCTGGTGTGTGGTGAAAAGATGCCTCCAGGTGATGACACCAACAGCACGTGGATGGAATCAAACACGGATTTCACCTCAGAATGCTTAAACTCCGAAGACTCTGACTACTGTGGAGACGGTGACGAAGACGTATGTTTAAAATGTTTTTATTTTATGGGGTAAATTGGTAATGTCAACCTGTAGTCACAGCTTTAACAACATTCTGAATGTTGTTTCTTCAGGAGGAGCCATTGGACATTGAGACAATAGAGGAAGAGAGACAAGAAAAGGCCATCGCAGAAATGAAGGAGGCTGCTCTAAAAACATTACAGGAGTCACGGTAATACACATGAGAACGTGTGTGCTGGTGAATGAAAAGATATAGTTGTGTGTGTTAAAGTTTGTATTATATTCTGAGAGGTTTTGAAGATTTTTTATTATTTTCTGCCTTCAGAAATTCCAGTCTCTTCCAGTCCAGTCTTGACATGGGACTGAACATCCAGGTACTCACAACCAACCATTTAAAAAAAAAACTTTGCCATGTCTTTTTAAGTGAACGACCGTGTTGGTGTTGCATGTGTCGCTCATTATCTCTGCTGTCTATTCCCATCAGGAACAACAGGACAAAAAGAAGCGAACGAACCACACTGCGCTAGAAAGGCAGAGACGCTCTGAACAGCGGATCCTCTTTGACAAACTCCAGAGCATCCTTTGTGGTGACCTCGGTGGCACCAAGCCCCCCAGGCTCCACCTGCTCTCACTGGTCAGTTCCACAGGCAGTTCATTTTGTCCAATTATGGTGGGCCACAAACATAGAGAATAAAACCCCTTTTATACTGGCTGTGTATCCCCAGAGTGTCCCAATGAAAATGTATGCAGTCCTGTAAGCAGCTTTAGAACCAAAACCAACACACTGGAGTGCAGGAATAAGGCCACTGCAGTCATTATGATAAGGAGAGCAGTAAATCTAAGTTTAACGTTTAGACACATTATTTCTAAAGAGTTAAACAAATATCTGATAATCTGCATCGTCATGTATGGCTGTCATCAGATCAGATGTGATTGACTGTGCTCTGGCAACATGAGCAAACAACTCCATAGCTCTCACTATATTCTGATTCAAATATTGCAGAATCATGATTACTTCACAGGAATATGTTCACCCGTTCCCATTATTTTTATTATGCTTGCACCAACTGTGACGTTGATCCAACGCTCCTTTCTACTCACGCAGTGACTCTGTGCAGTGTTTTCCTAAATGATATGTTCAAGTTAGTTGTTGTGATTGGGGACAGAAACAGATTAATCAAAAGTCCTCCATAGTGCACATGGCATTTGTGATGTAATGTATACATTTTTGGAAACAAGTTGCAGAACAAGAATAATTGTTCACCAGATCCCAAACAACTCTATGCATGTTGTAGATTTGTGCTTGGCAGCCCACACAAAGTCTGACAGGATAATCCATTCACTGATTTTTTCCGTCTTCACAGTAGTTTCTGGGGGGGGTTGTGTTTGCAGGCTGTAAAGGAAATCCAAAAAATGGCTGAGATGTCCAAATTCCTCAAGGAGAAAAAGACGAGATTGGCTCAGTTACAGTCGGACTATCTGAAGAAGCTCTCCATTTTGTCTGGTATGTACAGTTTCTGTTCCTGCACGTTGACATGTTAAATTCAATAAATAAAATGCAGCGGCTCATGTTAAGTTGAGTGTGTTTATTCCAGCTGCCTTCACTGAAACCTGTTTCATGAGAAATGTCACCATTTTTTAGGGAAGTCCGAGATGCTGATCAAACACAAGCTGAGTGCCATCTGCAGGAAGCAGAAAATGAGAGAGAAGACGATGAAATGGAGTCCATTTTTTTCCCAGCTCCTCCAGTCCAGAGCTGCTCTCCTGCAAAACAGAGCCCCCCAGTCCCAGCACATGCCCCTGTTACATCCTGACTTCATTCCACACAAAACTGCTGCCCAAACAAATGCACAACCCATAATGGCCGTGCTTGATCCTATCTCAGCCCAATCCAGTGTAAACCCTCCCAAACCCCTGTCCACACTACTGTCCACACCACTGTCTCACCCTCAAGCTGCGTCCACGCCTGCCAAGGCTTTCCTCACTGCAGCCCTATCACAGGGAGAGAATCAGGAACAACCTGGAGCTCCAGCCCAGGGCAGCGTGCCTAATTCACAGTCTCAGGTCCCGACAGGTAAAGACATCCCTCCGACCACCGCAACCCCTGTAACTACAACACCCAATCCCCAAAACCCCTCCACAAACCCTTTACCGTCCATTTCTCTTCCTCTGATTCGCTCCAAGACCGGCAGACTCATACTTCCCTCATCTATGAAACCAAGTAAGTTGTTACATTGCGTAAGATGTCCATGAAGCACTTTGTTAACTTGTTTTTAAAAAAATGCTATATAAATAA